AGGGGAAAGACCAACGGTCGGCTCCAGCATCCTGAGGCCGGCACAGAAACACCCTCAGGGGCGGAAATCGCCAAGGTTACAAGGAAACGGAAGTCAGGTGCCAAGCAGACATCAAAGAATGGTTGAATGGCCAGCTCTGGGTGACATGCGAGGGGGAAGTTTCCCATGAAGTCCCCTTGGATCGTTCACCTCAATCATTTTTCCAAGAGCTCCTCAGACAGTGAGACAGAGGGGTGGGGGCACTCCCCACAGATGATGACCAGAAAGGGGCCAGGAGGCCATTGGTTCCCTGCAGGACCATGACCTTGGGGAGGCAGGGAGAGCGGGACTTCAGGGATGGGGACGTGTCTGAGTCAAGGAAGCTTGCTTGAGTCCCTTAGTATGTATGAGTGTGTGTGTGTGTGTGTGTGTGTGTGTGTGACTGTGTTATGAGTATGTATGACTGTGTGTGTGCATTTGAGTATGTGTGAGCGTGTGTATGTGTGTTTGAGTGTGAGTATATATGTGTGAGTGTGAGTGTGTGAGTGTGTGTGTGTGAATGTATGAGTGTTTGTGTGTATTTGTATGTGTGAGTGTGTGAGTATGTGTGTGTGAATGTATGAGTGTGTTTGTGTGTATTTGTATGTGTGAGTGTGTATGTGCGTGCATAGGTAAGTCTGTGTTAGTGTGTGTGAGTGTGACTGTATGAGTTTGTGATTGTGTATGCACGCATATATGTGTGAGTGTGTATGGTGAGTGTGTGTGAGTGTGAATGTGTGTGTATGAGTGTGTGACTGTGTGTGTGCACGCATGTATGTGTGAGTGTATGTGTGTGAGTCTGTGTGTGAGTGAGTGTGTGTGTGGAGGGGTTGTTGATCAAACAAACGGGGACCCCACTCATGGGAGAAGCCCAGGGAAATTCAGGAAGGAGGGAGGAAGTGGGAAAGGACAGGGAGGCGTGTCCAAGGACAACCAGGATTCGGCAGATGCCCACAGAGCCTGGTGAAAGGATGGTCTTGGAGCCATGCCGGTGAGCAGAAGTGTCCTGGCCAGGTCCCCTCCCACACGGAGGGGCCTCGGCAGGACCTTGTGCGTGAAGTGCCACGTCTCCTTTTCCACAGCAGGTACAGTGTCAGGTTGAGCTCTGGAACCACAGCCCTAGAGCACCTGGCCAATATTAGTGTCGTTTTTCAGGATCGTGTGTCACCGAGATGCTCCTGGGAGAAGCCCTGTGGACCCGAGGCTTCTCCCCACCCAGGGGTGCTGGCCTGCTCCTAACACGTGCTGTGGCCTCCTTTCACACTGAGATGGGAAGATGGACGGTGACCCCACACCCTGGGCATGGAAGCAGCCCGCCCTCTGCCCCCTACCCCCACCCCCGCCCATCCACCCTGGAGGCCCACAGTACCTTGAGGTTCCCTCGGTCCAGGGCGGCAGTCAGATGCTTGCGGACCTCAGTCAGCTGGGGTCGGGGTCCCCGGGGGCTGGCCCCCTGCCGCAGGGGTCGCTCCTTCAGGTACTGCTCCAGCTTGGACTCCCCCAGGAGGAGCTCCGCCATGTCATCTACAAACAGCAGAGGGAGACGCTCAACAGGGGCAAGGCCCAGGCTGTCTGCTGGGCACCACCCCACAGACACAGAGACCGCACACCCAGCCCGCTGAGCCCAAGTGCTGAGGGCCCGGCTAGGCCCTACGGCACATCCTGTCCTTAGACGGGGTCCAAGCGGGCATCATCTGTGTGAAGCCTGTTTATTAGCCAAGAAGATCCCAGCCCTTCGCACGCCAGCAGGTGGCTCAGCCACCACTGTGACAGGTTAACTGACGGGAGAATGACAGGACACGTGAACCAGAGAGTGCTCATGCTCAGGAGAGATGAAGAAGAAGAAGGAGAAGACTAAGGAGAAAGAGGAGGAGAAGAATAAGGAGGAGGAGGAGGAGGAGAAGAAGAAGAGTTGAAGTTGTCAGGCTATAGCCAACAAGGTCTTTATGAACGATGCACAAAGCCTAAGACGATGTATTTCCTAAGAGCGGGCCTTGTGCTGTCTGCCTTCGTACATGGGAGTGGGCTGCAAACTCCAAAGTCACCGCTATGGAGTCAGTTGTGGTCCAGAGCGACCCTGTAGTACGGAGCAGAACTGCCCCTGACGGCCCGAGACTGGAAATCTTCCTGGGAGGGGCGGGTGATTTCAAACTGCTGATCTTGCTGTCGGCAGCCCAACGCATAACCCAGTTCGCCCAGACCGTTCTAAGTACACCCAGCACGGGCAACCCTTTCTGTCGGGGCTGGGAGTCTCCTTGATGACCGTACAAAGCAGGTTTAAAAAGTCTACAGAGAAACCCTCCGATCCCATTCAAATCCACTAGCTCTGGGGGCTGGGAGAGGTGGCCTCGGCTAAGGGGAGGAGCCAACATGGGCTTGATCTTGAACTTTCTGGTCTTGGTAAGGAGAAGGGGCTTGCCTATTAGTTAGTTGCATGCTTTCAACTGGAGTAACGATCAGCG